GGGAGACGAGGACAGAATGACGTCCCGCAGTACTGTTACCACAAAGCCCGAGACGCAGCGGTGACCAAGGGAGACGAGGACGACGCCTTGGCCATCAGAAGGATGCTGGGCGTGCACAGGACAGCCCCAGGCTGGCCTCCCTGGACACTCCTATCATCTCAGGCCGGCTGATTTTACCCTCCTGTGCTTTTTAGCATCCCTCAAATAAACATTTAGACAAAATAAGTGTGCAAGCTGCAGAGTAACACAAACAATTTATTCTCACTAATATAAATGTCTTTCCTGCCTCACCCACAAGAACAAACAAATACACATATATATGCCTGCAACAGCACAGAAATTTCTAGAAGGCACAGAAGACACATCTGCAGAGACCCCGGGGAAGCAGACCTCTGCTCGCGTCACGGCACGGCTGGGGGTGGTCTCCATCATCCCCCTCCCACATGCCCATTTCGACTTGCTGCGTCTCCACTGTCAGGTAAACGTGTCCTTGTGCGATAAATCCAGAGAGGCCGAGGGGAGATAAAGGCTAACCACTAGGTCTAATAACCCTAAGCTCCCCCTTTCCCAAGAAGACCTCACCATCCATCTTCTCCCCGTAACTGTCACGCATCTCCCCATACACCGCTTGGAATGTCACTGTTTTCTCTTCTGTCTAAAGATCACTTCCGGGAAGCAAGGCTACAATACCTCAGGGGGCTTGAGGGGGATGGTTTACACAAAATACCCACAAGTTCTAGTCAAATGACACGTGTGTTTAATAAACGTAGCCACACAACTCGACAAACATATCCAAAGATACGTCTATACGTATAAAATTGAACAGATACGTAAAAGTTCAGCTACTAAAGAGTAGCTTAGATAAAAATCCCAGACATCATCACGTTCTGAGAGACAGTACGACCCAGCGGCTAAGAGGTGGGCTGTGGAGTCAGCCCAGCGGGTGGAGAGTCCACCGTGCCCCGGAGCTCCGCAGCCCTGGGCAAGCTGCCCTCCCCGCAGAGAGCAGCACGAACCCCCAGACCGCGCTGCCAGCCAGCTGAGGTCGCACACCTAAGGCGCCACTCAGGGCCAACACTCACCGGTGTTTCTGTATCCTCAGTAAACATCGGCACTGTCCTTTTGGGGGAAACGGGAGAAAGAAAAAAAAAAGCTCTTACCCTCCTTTGTGCTTCTTCTTCTTTGGGGTATCTTCTTCAGACGTCCTCCTGCCTCGGCCCCGGGAGCCTCTTTTCTCTTTCTGGCCCCGACCTTCTGAAACACAGTAACAACGCAAACCATTTCTGGATTAGTCACCGATGTAGGATGAGATTTACCCACGTCTGATGTTTACCATAACATCCCGAATCCATTTACTAGGTAAATTTCTTCCAAAGTCCCAGTCAACAGGAATGATACAAAGCAGAAGAACAGACTTGCTTTTTAACCCTCGTCCTCCAGAACTCTCAAAGTCGCTGTTCTCCAGTTTGTCCTTCAGGTCCGCCTCGAAGCGTGCCAGGTCTGCGTCGAGCCTTCGGATGTGCTTATCCACCTGCACAAAAGAATACTCAAATCTTACTTTAAAGAACAGCAAAAACGTTACTCAGCCGTAAATGGAAACCAAGTTCTGATACATGCTATGACATAAATGAATTTAGAAAACACGGCGCTGGGTGAAATCATCAGTCACAAAAAGACAATGCTGTACGACCCCACATAGGAGAAATCTCTCAACCGGCAAATGCAGAGACCGAGGTTTATTAGTGGTCACCAGGGGCTAGGGGAAGGCAGATGGGGAGTTACCGCTGAAGAGGAACTGAGTTTTTGTTTGGGAAGATGAAAAACTGTTGGAAACAGATAGTGGTGATGATCGCAGCTGTCATGAGCGGGTTACCGTCAGTGCACTGTGCACTGAAAACTGGCCAAAATGACAGAATTTTTGTTATCTATGTTTTACAACAATAAAATTTCTTTAATAACAAAAACAACAGCAAAACATCCCAGGAAGCACAAGTACAGTAAAAAGCCAACCAGAAAACATTTTCTTGTCTTTTGATCAGATTTTCAACTAATAAAGCTCTGCTAAAACGAGGCACCCCACCGCCCCCACCTCACTCTGCTTCCCTGTCTCCTCCCACACTCCTCACTATCTCACAGGTCTGCATGGCCCCCTGACCATCTCACAGGTCTAAATGCCCCCCTACCATCTCACAGGTCTGCACGCCCCCCACAATCTCACAGGTCTGCACAGCCCCC